ATCAATACTCTTGTTGTGAGCTAAAAATTGTACTGCTATCTTTGAGAGATTCATTGTACACTTCATTTCTATTACAAGTTATTGTAAAGGGTTGGTGTGACCCAAAAGGAAGCATAGGAGAAGGGTGTTCTCCTAGCAAGAAAGAGAAGCAAGGTCTTGCTTCAATTGAAGGTTTGTTCTCCACCATTAAGGAGAAGCTCTAAGGAATTTGGGAATTTTTAAGATGGATCTTGAGTTGAGGAGTAGGAGTTTCTGAACCTCGTAAAAATCGCCGTGTTATTGTTTGCAAATTCTCTTCCCTTATCTCTTTTACAATTGTGCTAAATTCATTACTTTCATATTTTGATTTCATATGTTGATTATTGCATAATTGGTTATATTGTTGATTACAAATTGTATTTCTATAATTTACGAAAATTGACCATTGACCCTATTCACCCCCTCTAGAGTCAATTCTTAGGTAACATATATGTATGTGTATGTATGTATATATTAGATAATAGAGGGGTAAGTACAGAAAACACTCCTGAAGTATACATTCATTGCACTTTTATCCCTTATTTAAAAAGGTGTGCAAACATGTGATACTACTCGGATCCGAGACACGGGTTGATCAGGCCCAGGCCCAAACTCGAGGGAATATCAAACAATTAAAGTATTTTAAATCGAACACGAAATAGAAAAATAAAGAATTTAAATATAAAATCCTCCAATGATAAACAATAAATTAATCCTCCAACAACCTTTAAGGTTACAACTTCGGAATCCAACTAGTGGACCCCTAAACCAAACTCCAACTGAAACTGAGTAATTGAAAGTAAAGATATTCCAAAACTAAAGCATGAAGTTAAATCCTACATCATCGATAGAATGAATAAGAGTCTCTACTTAGCACGATCAAGCTTGAGACTGGAACCGTCGGATACCTGAAAAAAATAATAAAGGAGTGGGTCAGGCCCAGGAGCAAGTTCTAATCTAACTGCAATCCATACAGTGACCCGATACGGAGATACACCGTAGACACCTCACAATATCTTCCTAGTCTATACATATAAATATATCCACACTAAGGTACATTCACTGGTCTATAATAGGGGTCTCAACCTGAATAGAAAGCAACATGCGAAAACGCACCCAAAGGTGGGCATGAGTACCTAGACCTAACAGGGTACACCTCAACCTATTATAACCAGCTATGCATTCACTGCATATACGCACCCAAACCAACAAGTCTGAGACTCAAGCTCATCTCGTAGTACCATAAACATATATATAAAGTCCGTCCAAAACCAGGGTATGTAGTTCAATTATTTATCGAACTGACATACAATAACAAATTAGTTAGTCACTCAACTTATTCAGTTGATATGACTTTACCATCATCCCTTAATCCAGGAAGCCATTTAACTTAGTTGCAGTTGATTTGACTTAAACACAATTAGGATTCAATATTAATAAATCCATTCCTTTAATCCCTAAACCGTTCCTAGTATGTCACCGTCCCATACCGGTGCATACAATCCTCCATATCCTTGTAAATTACATCATGTATATAACAGTTTAGTAATTTACAATCCAAAACTAATATCCAAATAATTGCAGAAAGAAGATTAACAATCTAGCAATTAAAATCCAGTATTAATCCATGTAATTGTATCAAAGAATTTAATATTCTAACAATTAACATCCAGAACATGCATAGTTCCAATTTAATATAACAATGACTCTATCATGTATTAAAAATAAGTTCTATAATCATATTATAGTCCAGTAAATCGCTAAATTAATTTAAGCAATTTAGTTCCTTCCATCCGGTAACTGTGTACTAAGTTATATACTTATCTTCTGTTTTATCTTTTAGCACAGAGCCATACACTATGCCACAAGTCCAATTTATTAATTGAAAGACTTCACAGTGCATTTAAAATAAATTTAGAATCATTTTATAGCACCTTAAACTGTCAAATTGCTCACCAACCTCCATCCAACAAACAGGTGAGCGACACGGTCGCCCGTATAATGCCTCAAATAGTGCCATCCCAATAATCTTTTGGAACCTATTATTATATGCAAACTCCACAAGTGGAAAATAATCCTCCTAGTGTCCCTTAAAGTCAAGAACACACGACCGTAGCATGTCTTCCATGATCTGATTAACCCTCTCAGTCTGTCCATCAGTCTGATGATGATAGGCAGTGCTAAAGTGCAATTCTATACCCAAAGCCTGCTAAAAACTCTTCCAAAAGCCAGACACAAAGCTCGAATCCCTGTCTGATATAATAGACAATGGAATACCATGTAGCTTCACAATTTCTGAAATGTAAAGCCTCGCCAACTGCTTCGAGGTGTAGTCTGTGCAAATAGGTAAGAAATACGCTGATTTGGTCAACCTATCCACAATAACCCAAATGGAGTTATAACCCTTGAAAGAATTCGGCAATCCCTTTACAAAATCCATAGATATGCTCTCCCATTTCCACCCCGGAATCGGTAGTGGCTGTAGAGCTCCTGGCGGCCTTTGATGATCAATCTTAACCATCTGACAAGTACTACACTAAGAAACAAAAAGAGCAATGTCCCTCTTCATACCAGCCCACCAAAACTGCCTCTACATATCCTGATACATCTTATCCCCTCCTGGATGAACTGAAAACTCAGAGTGATGAGTCTTAGTCATCACATCCTTCCTCAAATCGTCAGCAGAAGGTACTACTAAGCGTCCCTTATATCTCAAGCCTCCGTGAGTCCCAACATAGTAAAATGGAACTTCCCCAGAAGCTATCTCTACAATCTTGTCAATGCACTGCTGATCCGTGAGTTAAGCTTTCAGAACCTTGCGAATGATGGAAGGTGTAACCACATGCAAGCCATAAAAGCATCTGATAACTCATCGACATTCCTCAAAGCATTCCACTTAGTAGTGAATAAAGCAGAAAGACTACCAACAGGTCGGCGATTGAGTGCATCCGCCACCACATTCGCTTTCCTCGGATGATACTATATAGAAAAGTGATAGTCTTTTACAAACTCCAACCATCTGCGCTGTCTCATATTCAGCTCCCACTGAGTGAACAAATACTGCAGACTCTTGTGATCATTAAATAATTTGAAGGCTTCACCCAACAGATAATGCCTCCAAATGCGTAAGGCAAAAACCACTGCTGCCAACTCCAAATCATGCGTTGGATAATTAAGCTCATGAGGCTTAAGGTTCTAAGATCCATACGAAATCGGTCGCTCCTCCTGCATCAAAACACATCCAAATCCCTACAAAGAAGCATCGATGTAGACCAGATACTCTATCCCGCTCTGTGGGGTAGACAAAACCGGTACAGAAGTCAACTTAGTCTTCAGCTCATTAAAAACTTTCTGACAATGTTCATCCCACACGAACCGTACACCCTTCTTAGTCAGATGAGTGAGTGGTCCCGCTATCTTTGAGAATCCCTGAATAAACCTCCTATAATAACCTACCGAACCGAGGAAACTCCGAATCTCAGTAGGTGAAGTAGGCTGTCCATACTCAACCACTGCGGAAACCTTGGCTGGATTCACCGGTATTCCTTTTTCTGACACCACGTGACCCAGAAACTTCACCTCTCGCTGCCAAAATTCACATTTCTTGAACTTGGAATACAACTGGTGCTCACGAAGCATCTGCAAAACTATCCGAAGATGTCTAGCATGATCGTCCTCTGGCCTCGAGTAAATCAAAATGTCATCTATGAAGACAATGACAAATTGATCCAAGTAAGCCCTAAAGACTCTATTTATTAAATCCATGAAAACCGTTGGTGCCTTAGTCAACCCAAACGGCATTACTCGAAACTCATAAGATCCGTATCTTGTGAGAAATGCCGTCCTCGGAACATCCTGCTCCCAAACCCGAAGTTGATGATATCCAGACCGCAGATCAATTTGGAGAAGTACGCAGCTCCCTTCAACTGATCAAAAAGATCATCAATCCTGGGTAACGGATACTTGTTACGAATAGTAACCTTGTTCAACTCCTTATAATCTATATATAGCCAAAGTGAACCATCCTTCTTCTTCACAAATAATACCGGTGCTCCTCAGAGTGATGTACTCCTGCGTATAAAACCCTGGCTGAGTAGCTGCTGAATCTGATCCCTCAGCTCTCGCATCTCCACTGGTGCCATCCCATACGGTGCCCTAGCAATAAGCGTGGTGCCTGGAGTTAAGTCTATCACAAAGTCAATCTCTCGACTAGGCGGCAACCCTGGAACCTCCTGAAATACATCCGGGAAATCATGTACAATTGGTATGTTATCCAATGATACAGTAGTCCCCTCATCTGTTTCCTCCTCCTTATGAAACAAATAGGTGCTAGTAACCCCGCTAGAACGTGGTATAGCATCGACGTATATGTCCTGACCAGGAATGGTGAAAACAACTGACCCATCATAATAATTAACTTGGCCATAGTAATAGGATAACCAGCCCATCCCAAGTAACACAGCATGAGTGTACATGTCCAGAACCATTAGATTGGCTAAAAATCTGAGCCTGCAACATCTAGTGTCACCAACTGAACTATCCAAACCAGAATGATAAATACTCCGTAGAGCAAAATACGGAAGGTAACTAAAATACTCCAAAGCTACACCCTTTTAGATTATCGTGCTATCCTGGGACTTCATCATTCGGTAACAAAACTACCATATCGATTTACACAAGTTCGTTTATAACTCCTTGGTAATCGTCCTACCTCAACACAACATACATATAAACATATATCTGTTTGTTTGTCCAAAACCAATCACTCCACTGTGATAATCCTTATTATTGTAATAAGAATAATAAATAAAAACAAAATAGTTCCATAAACCATTTATAGATAAAACCTCAACATACTTTAAACCATAACCTATCAAGAGAAAATAATAAAATATTTTTTAACACGCTACTAGTGTGCGTGATTAAATCTGTACTACACTTCTACTAATACTTCCACTACTATAAATAACAAAAAAAAACTCCTAATAGAACCATCCTCTCTGTGAATCGGTACCCTCCTGCCTGGACGGCCCGGTATCTCCTTGTTTGGGACACTGCTTGAAAGTGTGACCCATCTCCCCACATGTATAACAAGTACCCCAAAAATTACCAAACGGTCTCCTTTGCTGGTTAGCCTCTGTCTGATCCCATCCTGCCTGTGATCCCTCATTATGCTCTCTCCAAGCAAACCTAGGACATTGTCTGGCTATATGCCCATAATCTCCGCAGGTATAACAATGTCCTTTAAACACATTCTGCACCACTGGTATTGCTTCTAGTGTCTGCTGAACGTGTAGTTGATTCTGAAATGCAGTTGCTACCCCCGCTGCTACAGCTTGAACAATGGTGTAAACTAACTGAGGAGTAAACTCTAGTTTCCTGCCTTGATTGTAGCCCTGGTCCTGGGACTCCTAAGTTAGTTGTTTGTCCTTCTGCTTAATATGCAACTGACCACCTTCCTTCTGCTCCTCCTCCTGAAACCTAGGCAGCAGCTGTTCTTCCCCCATTTGTTGACGTTGTAGAAGATCTTACCTCCTACGTACTGCTTCCCTTCACTGCCTATGGTTCCGTCTGGTTCTAATGTTAACCATTCTGTTAACACAGAAGACAGACATCAGTACGATTTTTAAATAGACCGTAACAGAATATAATGAATCCTAAACTTAAGCTCTAATCAAGAGAAAACGCTACGCGGAAGACTTAATACGAAATATCCTAGAGACACTTGAACCTGGAGTGCTCTAATACCAACTGTGATACACCTCGATCCGAGACACGGGTTGATCAGGCCCAGGCCTAAACCCGAGGGAATATTAAACAATTAAAGTATTTTAAATCGAATACGAAATAGAAAAATAAAGAATTTAAATATAAAATCCTCCAATGATAAACAATAAATTAATCCTCCAACAACCTTCAAGGTTACAACTTGGGAATCTAACTAGTGGACCCCTAAACCCAACTCCAACTGAAACTGAGTAATTGAAAGTAAAGATATTCCAAAACTAAAGCATGAAGTGAAATTCTACATCGTCGGTAGAATGAATGAGTGTCTCTACTTAGCACGATCAAGCTTGAGACTGGAACTGTCCGATACCTGAAAAGAATAATAAAGGAGTGGGTCAGGCCCACGAGCAAGTTCTAATCTAACTGCAATCCATACAGTGACTCGATACGCAGATACACCGTAGACACCTCACAATATCTTCCTAGTCCATACATATAAATATATCCACACTAAGGGACATTCACTAGTCTATAATAGGGGTCTCAGCCTAAATAGAAAGCAACATGCGAAAACGCACCCAAAGGTGGGCATGAGTACCTAAACTTAACAGGATACACCCCAACCTATTATAACCAGCTACGCATCCACTGCATAAACGCACCCTAACCAACGAGTCTGAGACTCAAGCTCATCTCGTAGTACCATAAACATATATATAAAGTCCGTCCAAAACCAGGGTATGTAGTTCAATTATTTATCGAACTGACATACAATAACAAATTAGTTAGTCACTCAAATTATTCAGTTGATATGACTTTACCATCATCCATTAATCCAGGAAGCCATTCAACTTAGTTGCAGTTGATTTGACTTAAACACAATTAGGATTCAATATTTATAAATCCATTCCTTTAATCCGTTAAGTTAGGTTTAGGCGTTTTGAGCTAAACCGTCCCTAGTATGTCATCGTCCCATACCGGTGCATACAATCCTCCATATCCTTGTAAATTACATCATGTATATAACAGTTTAGTAATTTACAATCCAAAACTAATATCCAAATAATTGCAGAAAGAAGATTAACAATCTAACAATTAAAATCCAGTATTAATCCATGTAATTACATCAAAGAATTTAATATTCTAACAATTAACATTCAGAACATGCATAGTTCCAATTCAATATAACAATGACTCTATCATGTATTTAAAATAAGTTCTATAATAACATTATAGTCCAATAAATCGCTAAATTAATTTAAGCAATTTAGTTCCTTCCATCCGGTAACAGTGTACTAAGTTATATACTTATCTTCTGTTTTATCTTTTAGCACAGAGCCACACACTATGCCACAAGTCCAATTTATTAATTAAAAGACTTCACAGTGCATTTAAAATAAATTTAGAATCATTTTATAGCACCCTAAACTGTCAGATTAAAACTAATCAGTAAATCTCCTTCCAGCCGTTAACCGCACGCAAAGTTGTCAAATAACGTACTGTTAATTCTATTAAAACTAAGGGGTAAATTTATGTAATTCAAGACCTTAGTTACATGTTAAACTAATTATTTAAAAACCCATTAAATTTCTAAAACTGATCAAGAACCCCAAGTGCTCAAACAGTAACTGAAAAGTCACTGTACGCACAAAATAACGAAAGAGCCTGCTCTAGAAAAATTGAGCAGGCTCAATGCAGCATAGAGCAGGCTTTAAACCACCTTGGAGCCGGCTCTAAACAGGTAGGAGCCGGCTCTTGACATTCCAGAGCCGGCTCTCTCCCCCCCTGTGAGCTATCTTTCTATCCCAGCTTCGTTTGCTCCGTTTCTGACCTCTACTTCAACTCCGGCCAGTTGCAACCTTTCTATTTGGTTTCTAAAACTAATCTTAGGTGTCATATTAATACCCAGTAGCATCCCAATGGCTTGATAACAACAATTAAAATCAATTACAGAGATTAAATTTGCTACCGAACTATCACGCGTTAGGAAAAAACTGAAACTATAGTTCTATTCCAACCCCTCTGTTCCTCTTCACAAACTAATCTTAGGAGTCTTATATCATCCCATTAACATCCCTATGGTTTGTTTACAGAAGATAAATGCAAGAATAGTAATTAAAATCATAACAGATTTTAGCATGCTTTAATGAACAGAACTGGGAACAACCATACACGAACTGTAAACAGATTTGAATTTAAGGCAAGCAGATCATCAACAAAGCATATATTAAACATGTAAGTTTCAATTACTAATTATTTAAACCCTAGAGACTATCTAGGTGCACAGAACACATGCTAACGAGAGAGAGGAAGAAGAGAACTTGCCTGTGATTTCAATTATGAAATCCCGGCATCGTGTCCACTGTTCCGGCAACACCGAACTATTGTCAAGCCTCCTAGTACTCCGAGATAATTCATCACAATCCTTCCTTGGTCCTCTCTGATTTCCTTCTTACCAATCCTTACAATGCTCTGTTCCTCTACCCTCTGTTTTTACAGAACAACTCTACATGTATGTGCTATATGATATAACGTAAACCATAGGCTTAAAGCATAATAGTGTATTTATAGGCTTAATACTAAAACCCTAATCCTTGTCATAAAAGAGATAGAGCCTTAAACTTAATCCTAGTCGGCCCATAACAAAACCTACGATTAAATTCTATGTTGGTTACACCAGATGACGTCCTTAAGTTAATAACCTAATGTTAACATTACCATAAATATATTACAAGAAATAAAATAAAACAGTGAATGAAACAAAAATATAATATCATTAACAATTTAATTCAAATACCATTTAATAACCTAACCAATCAATAAATCAATTAAACACACCAAATTAATAAACAAAGGCAAGTAATAAATTAAACAACCAGAATAACCAATTAAACAAATAATTAACAATTAAACAAATAGAAATCCAATAAAATAATAATCAAAATACCGAGACTATCCTTTTTAAAAAACTAGGGGTATTACAAAACAATACCCTTATTCTTTTCAATTTGTGCAAAAACACCCTCAATTAATATAATACTCATTTTACCCTTTTACTCTTCCAAAAATACCCCTACCAAACCTTCTTATTATTCTTCTTCTTCTTCTTTGTGCGTGTATGTGTTTTCTCTCCATACAGTTCAGTTGAATGCTCTTTCATATACAATAAGAATTTTTCACAACTTCTCACTTGATGAAAATGAAAATGGACAAATATAAAGTTTGTGGATATTAAATTACATATAACGACCTGAATCTGAGGGTCCAAATCGCTAACTGGGTCCTTACCCAAACCCGAGGTCGACTAAGGGCGCCGTCCTTTCCTATGCCAATACATTACATACGTGTCATCCCATGGTATATAAAATAATAATAATAATAATAATAACAATAATAATAATAATAATAATAATAATAATAGTAATAAAATGATATCATAGTTACAAAGTATGTCAAAACGGTCTACTAACTCATCGAACCCTGTGGAGGAGTGTCATCCGCCACTTCCCTTCCGTGTCCTGAAAAAATGTTAATAATAAAAGGGTGAGCATAAGCTCAGTATGAAGTGTCTAAGACACATCTCTTATGACCCCGTGAATCCACGTATAAAATAGAAAATAAGAGAATGGGATCATACTATACCGGGGATGTAAACCATAACCATAACATTCAATATAAACACAAATGTCATCTACGTCATAAATACACCATGTATACCAAAGAAGTGCAATGCCATGCTCATGTCGCTCCCCATTTTCGAAACATTTCCGTTTCAACTTCCAAACCGTTAGTGTAATCCGACCCAAGACACCTCTAAGGCGTCACGAGGGAGGGGTTGGCTAGTCTTCCCCGACCATATGACACCTCCATGGCATCATCTGGGTAACTCAACCACACTAGAGTCTCTCTCTATCCCCCTCTAGATCGCACTAACACCACGGACCACCAGGCGCCTCCTAGGCGTCTGGGTTTTCGCAAACACTTTCCAAAACAATTTCCTCAAAATAGTTTCATTTACTTTCAAAACATTTTTCCCTTTTTCATACCCAATGTCATGCATGAACATCACATACTTTTTCAATGTAAAGACAATAAAAGATTTTATATTATACAATTCAACATACTTTCACATAGCAATTTTTAACAAATTAATAAGCACCAAAGGTATGGAATTTAACACATTAGGTATGCTTTTCATACAAATTAATTAATACACATATTCAGAGATTTCATATTACAGAATTCAACATGCTTTCACATAGCAATTTCTAACAAATTAATAAGTACCAAATACATGAAATTTAACACATTAGGCATGCTTTTCTCACACAACAACAATAATACACATAATTATAATTTTCAAATACAACAATTAAATCATATTAAAGAAAATTCATCACAATTATAACATGCTAGACAACAATACATGGAGAATAATTCACTAAAATCCAAGAAGTTGTAGATTAAACACCCCTACCTTAAGAATTGCAAAAACCCCCAATTTGCCGAATCTAAACCCTAGAATTCGAAATTCTTAGGGTGCGCCAAAACCACATTTGCTCCGATCAAATCGAAGATCTCGCCGTGATCTCTAATTTGCCGCAAACGGCACTTAAAAACTCCAAAAATTGAGGGAGAAATCTAGGATTGAAATCTTGTAAAAAGAAAAAGAAAAAAAAAAAAATGGAGAATGAGGGGGGTAAGAGTGAGCTACGAGAGATAGAGGAAGAATGAGACCAAATGGGTCTCTAAGCCATACATATATGCTAGTGGTGGGTCCCACCACCTTTTTTAAAAAAAATTTCCTTTTTCCATTTAATACATATATATATATATATATAAGTCATAACCTCACATTCTCCCCAACTTTAAAAGATTTCGTCCCCGAAATCTACCTTCCTTAAAGAAGAAAGCCCACATCTACAAACCTTTTTCGAGAAACACCTCATCAAACCGCAGGACTAGGAATTCAACAACCTTATTGCCTTTGACCCAGCGCCAATAGGCAATGACACACTGCCGCTAGAAGGACCCAATGCTCACCACATATGAGGGTACTCACCGCTTACAATATCATACATAAAACCCGCTAGATTCAACACTCGATTTAAAACCAACACTGGTCCCCTTTACACCGCTACACAAGGCTTCAGAGCCCGAAAGAAGAATGATCACAGGACCCGTAAACATGACAACATCCTAACTCAACTCATCCTTTAAAGGATACATAAAATCCCAGACAAGGAACCCTATCTATCTCACAATCAAGCTCAAACTCAAATTTACATGTCACTGTTAAACCAATACTCGCCATCAAACACACATCTACACCATCTCATAATCTTACCAATGACTACTACCTTCACTATACGACAATCATTACACCTATAACCTCAAGATTGCTAAACAAAGAAGCCCCAACAACTACATAGACATTAGCCACCAAAATAGTACAGTGCACTATCCCGTACCCAAAACATAATCCTCAAAACAGATCCTCGATAATCAAGTCGCACCACAAACCTTTATTGGATACTTGGTCCCACCTAACACACCTCGTCACCGGAGACTAACCACCCGAATCCACACCGTCACGCCGGCATAACACATGATACCATGCTCTCACCGCCCTTGGAAAATCGAAACAATCATTGACCTTTGATCCAACATCGTGCTACAGAAGGACTGATTCAGGAGAAATGGTTGGTCAGGCCATTCTCGTCATCAATCCGGTCTCAACACAGACGTCGTTCTTATCCTCATGTCCAACCTCAAACACACTCTTACACAGTCCAAAAGACAACCATGAGATCCACTCACTATTAATCCATCGTCCTACGTAACCTCAACAACTATACAGTCATAAACCTGTTCTAAAAATCCCAATCATACTTTAATCAAAAAACCATAAAAAAAAAAAAAAAAAAACTAAAAGCAATATAGCACCAAATACCACAGTCATCAACTAGCATAAAAGATCTCTAATCTCCTCTTAACACCCATACCAAGTAAATAACTCCATAACATTACTCGATTCAATTCTTACCTCGTCAAAACACACAATGTAACTATTTCATGCCTGAAATCTCAACAACAAAGTCAATCATTCCTATTATTCCTCAATAAAGTCACACATTCACTTTCTCTAATACGAAATTCTAAGACAACATCGACACTTGTCCTCAAGGCACTGCTCGAATCAAACGCCTATAAAAACTTCCAAGTATATAATTCACATCACATCACCTAATCATCCTCAACCCGCTGTTCAATACACATTCCCTAGCCATCTCTACTAATAGAAAACATCGGAAACACAATTCGTGTTAGGCAACTCGTGCCTCACATTCCACCGATCAAGACCACTCATAAAACAAACGCTACTAAAAACCAATGACTTTATCTCCCTCCGTGGGAGTGAGTCGACCAAACTAACCAAGCCTTTACTGATGAACTCTAACAACATAACAACCATACACACGTCCGTCCACCCACTGACGCGCACAACTCGTAAACGAAGAACAAGACTGATGACAAACAACGTCCTTGCCAGGACTAGAGCAAATGAAAAGAGTAACGACCCTGCTCTCACAAGAGACTTACCACTCGTACCTGAATCCACCTAACACCCTATCATACGTTACTCACCAATCGTCCAACCATGGACACCCAATCTCACCTGAGACGAAATGAACTTCCTACACATAAGGAGAAAACCACTTGGAAACACACATAGGGCTACAACATCGATTCCAGGCAACCTCACCACCAACGGACCGTCATGCTCTATCAATACAGAAATTTCACATACACTACTCTGCAACGCCTACGCTAATCAAAACTAACTAGATAAGAGCACAAATGCTCACGGCACACTATCATTAGAAACAATCACAGCCCTTCGGACACTACGTCTCTTTCTACTTAGAATCAGTCACTTCCAACCGACAACCTCTATGCCATAAAACGACACTTTACCGTCCATTCATCTCTATCTACCCAAGCGACATTACCTAGATCACCGAGCACACAAGACCCGTGACCTTAGTCATAACAACCCACTGACTCTTCAAAAGAAAAAGATGCATACATGGTAACACGTCTTCATCTGGTTCTAAAGACTAAGCTGACTACATTCGCCTCAACTGGCACACAACCCCATCACCTACCTGACAATATACAACAAACAATTCATTATCGCTAAACTACATTCAGATCATACCTTAAACTGTTCTGCTCATCATCTATAAACATTACACCATAACACATTCACTACCACTCATCCAAATCAATAGTTCAAACCTATCATCCCATCGGACCATCAAGCCATTACCAAATAATTCTTCTTCCAACATCCTTAAGATAACACTATGGTAACAAAAAAAAATAAGCATTACTTTCGATACTTCCCATAACGACCACTATTTACCATTAGAAAAGAACCTCCATACGGCAATGTCATGCCGACAAACCCTCAAAACAAAATGAGCACAAATCTCAAAATGCTCAACACCCAACAGTCTCCTCAAAACCACCAACTATGCAATCAATCATTAATGCTCAACCAACCACTTAATCCACTCTTTCAAAGGTAATCTACATGCCTAAACAAAAAACTTCATGCCCTAGGTTCAACACCATTACCTCCCTTCTTCACTGTTCCTCAAAACACCCTTAGCCCCAACAAAGGTCAAATGGGGCTAACAACTAAACCCACAAAATCAACCTCGTCCCAATCATTCTAATCATCAATTTACCTTTTTGAATCCTCAAACACCAAGCACAATCTCCTGATACCTCAGACATAACATAATATCCAACTCCAGTCCACAGCTTCCAAATCCTAGAACACAGTCTATTTGGTAACACCGTACCTACCATCAATCACTTCATCCGTAAATGGCTAAGCACTTCAATGACCTCATACAACCTTCCTTATAGTGTAATCCTGCTCTACACAACTAAAACTAACCACTATACACTACCTCGAGACTCTCTCGACAACCGTGATAACCTAAAACCCCACTTATCTACCGAACCATGTAATCAACTCACTGAGAGTTAATTACCCATAACACACCTATAACTATCTCAAATGAGAATCACTCTTTGACAACCCAATCTCCAAAATAGACTCTTACAAGACACAAAATGCTCTACACCCTGCAACCGGTCCTATATCACCCTAGACCTACAAAATCCAACAAGTACCTACGACAGTCAGAACCAACACGCATCCTCAGACCATAACAGAAGATATACATCTATATCCCATAGACTACATTCATAACTCAAAACAACTTCTGTTACACCTACCACGACCGGTTCGAAAAGAACCTCCGCACCAAACTATGACCCAAGTCAGAAACATTAACCTTCTAAGGTTATACCTTTCTCCCTCGAAACCCTTACTCACACACCCGACCTTCACAGTCACAGGAACCCATCCACCGATGCATGAAACTCACACTCTCTACGAACACTGTGCCATAAAATATGAACCTGTTCTAAAGTCGTGCT